GGGGGGGGGGGGGGGGGAGAAAGAAAGGAAATGAAAAAAAAAGGAACCTCTTGATGCTATTAGAGTGGAACACGAGTAAGTTGAATTTTGTGCCGGGAATCTGCGCGGTGGCTCGAAATTAACGAATCACTCGTCGTCACATGGGACAAACATACATCGGTGCCAGGTCTAACCCCTTTCAAGAATATGATAAGAACTTCCGCGCGAGACGAGGACTCGGAAAGGCATCGGCGAACGATCTCGTCGACCTGCTTCGCCCCAAATTCGAAAGGGAAGGAAAATCGCTCGAGGGACCCCTGCGCCTTACGTCAACGGGTGAGAGCAATTACGGTTCATGAATCGGGATTTCTTCGCTCACCCATCCCCCGAGTCATCATAATACGACCCGAAAGTGAAAAGAGTTTCACGAGGGCCTTTCGATTCGTGGGTTCTGCTGACCCTTACCCCCGATAAAACGCATCGAAATACGGAATAAGTGAGAATTTACCCGTTTCCAGGCTTGGTCATTCCTTTGCAAGGAATCTTCATCGATGTCTCCATCGCTGGATTCTCGTTTACAAGCGAGACCTCATATATTGTCAGAGGAATTTTTTTTCACTCGATCGCCCATTATTCGCGGAGTCCGAAGTGTATCACGCGACAGCTGAGAAATCGGAGCACGATTTATATGCAGGAGGGACGCTTGACCATCGTCTAAAGAAAAAAAAAGGTTCGAGGATCGTTCGTGCAGTCGAAAGTGGACAGCGATTAACTGATATTTTCGTAAAACCATTTCAAATAATGTTTGAACAATTAATATCGAAAATCAATGTCTAAAATGAGCATCGTTGGTGGAATCGGTCCTCGGTGTACTTGTCGTAGACGGAGGGTCTCGGACCGATCACGAACGGAGATTATATTTCTGTCCAAGCTTGTCCTCTCTGCATTACGGAATCAAGGATTTCGTTCCACGGGCATTGCCAACTTGGCAGAAAGGGAAAAGTGGGAAGGGGGGTAAGGGGAAAGGTGGGGAAAGGAGAAAGGTGGGAAGGGGGAAGGAGGGAAGGGCTTTCAGCAGTGCCATCAAACCTAGTCCTATGCCAAATCCCAGGACTTTCTCGAAAGTAAGAAACTTGGAGAAAATCTCGAGATGGATGGGATCGAGGGGTTGAGGGATGGATGGGGTAGAGGGATTGGGGGATGGATGGGGTTGAGGGATTGAGGGATGGATGGGATTGAGTACAGTGGATCGAGTCGCAGCCCTTTCAAAAGAGGATTAGAGGACCCATATATGGCCGTCGCAGGATGCGAACTGCAAAAAAAGGACGCTTCTCTCTTTCGTTTTCGAAGCCACGGTTTCACCCGTCGGTGCTCCGTGCTAGTACTTGCACCTGAGAGAAAAAGCAGAAAGCTCGCAGGACCGATTACGTGCCGGGATGCTTAATTCGATGCATCTGGCCCAAGCAAGGAGACGGGGACGGTGGCCATGGAGAGTTGAGGTCGTGATGACGTCATCGCCGATGCCCTCGGTGCATTTTCCCGAGGGTCTCGCCTCGGCTTTTCCCCAAATCTTTCATCTTCGTTCCTCGATTCTATGACATTTCGATCTCGCGGCGGTACCGCGAATGGCGAAAATGCGATTTCCCAGGAAACGAAGGCGAATTTTCGGACATTAACGAAAGAATCGGCCGTGCACACCAGTCGTATTTTTTCGCTCGTCCCCGCACGAAAATTTGCGTCTAATTTTATGGGAAATCAGCGAGAATGAGGATTTAACGACTTCGGAAATGAGGTGGAGGGTATGCGAGCGATGAACCGACAAATGCGATTTTGGAAGCGTGAGTTCTTAACGAAGGGAGTGGCTCCACAACATTTCACGCTCGTCTACGCGGCCGTACGTTTCCATTTCTTCATCGGTTTCGAGCCGAATCGTACCGAGAGCGAACCGAACCGAAGCGAATCGAGAGCCGGTGGCCGTTCCGTGCCGCGACGCCGAAGAAAAAAAAGTCACGAAAAAGAGTTGGACTCGGCAGCGACGGGTGAAAAATCGAGGATGGACGAGGTTCATGGAATGAATGGAGTCTGACCTGACGTGGAGGTCGAGAGGTCAATCGGCTGCCGCCCACATCCAGCGAATAAATAAACACACGTGGAAGAGACGAGGAAGGAGTGTTTACGGGCAGACGTCGGCGGGGGAACTGAATGGATCCCGATGCCTCCAGGGCAGAGGAAAAAAAAAATCACGGTGAGACCCCTGGAGTATGATTCATCCAAGAGAGTGCGAGTCTTTCCCGGGCCTTTCACTCTAAGACGACCTTGGCCTTCCTCCGCCATCTGCTACGATCCGAAGACGTTTTTCGGGGTATCCGAGGTGCACCCGGGCACCCAGGTGCACATCCGGGCTCCCCGGACCCCAAAGACTCCGGTCGTGCCTCCACCCGTTCCCGTCGCGGCGTCGACGCCGAGTTATCCCGCCTCGCATGCCCCCGTGCATTTCTATATCTGCGTGGAAATATGTCATGTGGTCGCCGGGGGATTGCGTCATCGCCGTTACCCGAGGGGGGGCAAGGTCCCCGGTCTGGGATCTGGATCCCGCAGGGATCGCACTCCGAACAGACATAGCATCACCTGCTCTTAATTACTTCATCGGGTGCCGTTTTTGTTAACGCACTCTCGTGTACATGCTTCTTCCGTACGCCTAGCTGCTCCAATCTGTTTAAATCCTCGAAAACTTGTCATGACGTCGTTCCAGTTTTTCTTAGATCTCCTCTAACGGGTTCCCTCTCGTTCGGTAGCTAATTAAGTCCTTCTGTCGCGTCTCGTCGATACGAGCGATCAATTCGTCTCCTGGTTTTTCCCAGCATGAGTCCCTTCGTGCTCTTATTCACAGCATGGATCTCATCATCTCTTCGTCCTTGTCTTTATTTTTTCCTCTCTTCCTCGACGACCGAGTCATGACTTACAGGTATGCATGTACTAATTAACTTTCCTGTTTTTTTATATAAATTTTTTTTAACACATTGGCATTTTACTCTTCGTGAACGTGTTCATCTTCCCAATGACACTTCACCAGCTCACATTCTCTTCTCATGGTCGTTGAAGTCAAATCCATTTAAGTTATTATCTAATGATACGATTGCACAGAAGTCTGAGCGCGAGAACAACGTTATTTAACCCAAGAAAATTTACGCAGAATCCATTTTAAGGTTACAAACAGGAGAGACAACGGGAAAACCATGCCACATGTGCTGTCAAAAATAAAAGAAATTATTTATGCAACATTTAAAATTGAAACAAGATTGAAATTGGAGTTGAAAGTATGGATTACATAGACCGAGAGGGTCTCTATTATCCATCCATATGTCCATGTTCATAGGAAGCGGAGGGTACTTGCAATCTTTCACGTTCGCTTAGGAGCGAGAAAAGATAAGGCACGCATTTGAGTATTAGGCCAGAGGCACTGGGAAAGGAAAAAAGATGAAAAAGTGGCGTGCCTCCAGTGAGATTCGAACTCACGACCCCTGGTTTACGAGACCAGTGCTCTAACCACTGAGCCATGGAGGCTGAGCTAGAGAAGGGGGCCGATCAGCTCGTACTCGGTCTCAGCGAAGGCCAATGCAGCGCAGTCGCTTGAGTCTAGCGCATGCGCAGAAGAGATTTGGGTCGGACGGAGTGGAAGTCCCGACTCCGAAGCGCGGGGGCCTGGCCTCGCCTCTACTCGTACTTCTTGTGCTCCGCTTGCCCCCTCCTCCTCGTTCTCCTATGTTGTAGAATCCTCATCGAGTTTGACATCGCGGTCCCGTCGCATTCGATGGACCGCAGCCGGGTGGCCCTGCCCTATTTCACGTTCGTATGCAGTAATACCGAGAAGAAAATGAAAGTCTACGTGCGTTGAAGTGCAATGAATGGTTTTCATGGTTTGCTTTCTTTCAGCGAAAAGGTCAGAGGTTTCGATACCAGAAGAGAATGTTGTCGCCGTCGTTGGGCTTCACATCGTCCACACCTACAGGAAATCACAGAAGCATAAATAAATCTTCGAAATCGAAATAAAAAAGAAAGAGAGGATAATATGACGAACCTCCAGCAGCAATGAAGGTATTGTTGGGAGGATTAAGAGGCTCGGGAGGTCCAGGAATCGTGTACAGAAGCCAATACCAATAGCCCTCGTCTTTGAATTTCACGCCGTCGATCGTATGTACGATGTGACCCCACGGATACACGTCAGCCGAGAACCTTTCAAAGAAATCGAGGAATCCTTCACGACCGATCTTTGCGATTGCGCGTGACTTATTCACAGGGCTGACTGGAATCGGGAATCGGCAGCGGCGGCAGCGAGGAGGATCTGGAACACGGATGAATTCGCGGGGACCTGGACGATCCGCGAAAAGCGGCGGGAGATGTCAGCCCCGATCCACACCGTCACGTTCACCCGAATCTCGAGGGAATCCTGTTGGGTCTTCGCTCCGCCTGGAACAGAGAGGCATCGCTATCACGATCGGCAACCCTGCGCGGCAGACGACGACGCGAAAGGCACTACCGGCGTCAGACGCGAGACGGAGAGGTGGATCGGACGAATCTCCGGGACCGGGACAGACGCGCTGGAAGACGTCGATCACGCAGGAATTGGTGGCGATGGCAGGCAGGACCCACGTCGTCTCCCACACCCCTCCGAACTTCCCTTCCTCTTTGTCGTCTTCGCCGTCGAGAAGGAATCGGATCGCCCCGGACTCGTTCCAGTCCACGGGGGGAGAGCATCTCAACGCCTGTTCACCGTCATGAGCCGTCAATTCAGATTTTCGACCTTTCTGCTACATCTTAGAACAGGGTCCCATGCCCGTACGAATAAGTTATCGCCGACGAGCAAGAAAAACCGGTTCATATGCGTATGTTTTTACACGGCCACGTACATCACGTACCACGTATCACCACGTACATGTTTCCTTTACATGAGAAAAATAATTATTTTAATAACTATAAACTGCAATTTTTAGGGAGTTTTTTTTTGTTGGCTAAAATGAGTGGGGATCCAGCATAGTAGCCATTTAGATGCCCGGGACACAAGGCGTTGATTCTGCCTTTCCCGTATGAGGTGATCGCCTGTCGTTCGGTACGTAATTTTCTTTTCTTTATCGATAGCATTATTTACATCCCGCAGTGGCCGACCCCTTCTAAATCCCAAGACACGGACCGCAGACAGGCATATTTATGCTCGATTCTTATGAAAAATCCGATACCGATGTATCGACGGAAATCCTACGATCTGTCCTTCCAAAAAGCACACATCGACATACGTGGATGGCAAGAGCGGTCGTGATGGGATCGGAGTCGAAGCTGGCGTCCGTCTGCCGCTGGGAGGAGGCAAGAGCAGCAGCGATCTCCCTGCTCCTGTCATCTAGCGAGCCGGACGGGAACTTGCGCCTCATGCAGTTCAACGCCAGGCTGCTCATTCCCAGCGTGTCTGGAAAGCAGAAACGAAAGGAAATCGCGCGTAACGACCGCCGTTCTCGTCGAAGCCGACGACGACGGCCGAAGGAGTCGGAGAAAGGAGTTCCTGAAAGGTTCTCATGGAGATGAGATCGATAGCTATTTTACCAACCCACAAGAGGTGGCGAGGACAACTTTCAACGAGTGGGAGATGGAGCGTAAAAACGCTGTTTCTCCCACTCGATCGTTCCCACGCGTAGCTCGTGGCATTTGTTTTAATGGCATGCGCTACGCGTGCTTCTTTTTTCGTTTTTTTTTTTTCCCAGAGATGATTCACGCGTGCTAAGCTTACGAAGGCAACTGCGGCAGATAGTTTATCGCTTCGATCCTCCAAGGAAGCGAATATGGGTTCCGTTGACGCGTGGATGTCACGTACCCGTTGGCACCGGAACGATACTCCCGTACCGCGCAGCACGATCCCTCCTACCATTTTCATGAACTGAGTTCGATAGAAATACGAGAAAGCAATGATGCTTGTTCCTCTCTTACTTCTGTTCTCGCTCGCAGCCCGCACGCGCGTACGATGCCGATGGAAACGGACGCGGAAAAGAAGACAAAATAAAATGGACCGAAACCACCAGGGCCGGATTAAGGTTATGAGGGGCCTAAGGCTAATGGGATCCCCTGTATGGGATCCCTCCCATTAGCCTTAGACCAGGGTCTAAGTACGAATTACATATTAAAAAAAAAAAATTAATTTGGAATGGAGGGCCTAAAGTAGGGTCTAAAAATAAGAGGGCCTAAGGCTAAAGCCTTATTAGGTCATGGGTTAATCCGACCCTGGAAACCACGACGTGGACTCAAGTGGCCCGCCATTTAGAGCTAGTGGCTCGCCATTCGCGAGTGCGGGGGCTGGTCTCGCTTCTGCCGACTTCGTCCTCGAGAGGGAAAAAATCAAGTGGAGACTCCCAGAGAAAACAAATCGCTGCTTCCCAGAGGAAACAGCAATTCAACAGCACGTACCGATCACACCGAGGGGAGTGGCGAAAGCTTAGTTTAAACGCCATCGTTTCTACAGGAAATCCCGCTCGGAATGAAGTTTTTCCCGTTAGTGCGAAGAAAGCAACGACGGCATCGAAGACGGAAGCGGAGCTGCCGAACGAGAAGCGAGGAATAACTATCGCCTCTGGATTGGATTCCAGAGCTGCCTATCCGGATTCTTTGCAAGCCGAATGGACGACTGATCTCTGCGACCGTTTCCAGGGAGGGAAAAAAAATCAGAGAATCATTGGTAACATTCTCCTGTCTCGGATGCAATTTCTTCGTTCCGATCTCTACTCTTCCGGCTCCAATGAAATAAATCGGGGGTTCTTCGGTACTGTTTCCCAGACCATCTACTCTCCAGTAAAGTCCCAAAGTCCCAAATTCTGGATCGCCAAACTCACCGATTTTGTGAAGCGACCGCTCGGCGGTGAGATTCCTGAGGAGTCGGTGGGCGTGGCGGAGGCTCACTACGTCCCCGGCCAGGCACCGAGCCAGCACCCTCAGCGCCGAACTGTATCCCGACTTCTCTCTCTCTCGCTTCTCTGTAACGAATGTCGACGTCGCGGATCATCGAGGTGGATTTTCCGCGCTCGTGGCACGAAAATGCTTCAAATATCTCGCGATCGTCGCGTTTTAATTCGTGATCGTCGCTATTTAGCTCTCATCGTTATCATCATTTAGACTTTATTATTCGGTTAATTAGTTTCTACGATGTCTCTCCGAACGAGAAGGGAAGGTCGTCTTACCGAGGAGATTCCAGCCGTAAAAGTTCTTCGGATCCTTGCAAGTGGAGAGCAGAGCCAGCGCATCCATATAAGGATGCTCGTGTCCTTTCCCTTCCCCGGCCCTGCGTGCACGAAACGGACCCTGAGTCCCCCCGCGAGTCGAGGTCGCATCGACAAGAAAAGATGGATACCGGCATCGACGAGCGAGGATGCGGACGTGGAGTTCCTTGAGCGAGAGCAGGTCATCCGGGGCGAGGGGCGTCGAGGGCCGGGAGGTGAGACGGAGGGCGAGGACGACCTCGGAGGTCAATTCTCCCCATCCCCAATCCGAGTCCCTTTGCTTCAGCAGCCATTCTCGTCCACTCTCCCATCCTGAAACGCGAACGAGACGCCTTCTCGAGGTCTATGTCGACCGAGGACGATTCGATCGTGAATCGTCAGATAAGAGTGCCATCCAAACATCGCCACGTCGCTGGACGGTGGCGTGCAAACCCCTTCCCTGTGGGACGCGAGCCTTGCTAGGGTGGTGGTAGCCTCTCGAATCGCTCCAACTTTTTTTTGTTTAAATCATCTACTTCAAATGAATGAGAGCAATCGATCGGGAAGAGAGAGAGAGCACGTAAAAAAAAGCGCAGATATGCCCCAGCCGACGATGATGCATTTCGCGCTGGATTGCTCGAGATTTATACCAGCGCCAAGAATTTCTGAGCACGAATGCGTCTTTTACACTAAGAATCGCAGGATGCGGGAATCACGGGGATTTAGGTCCTCCTTTCCCCCCCCCCCCCCCCCTCCATGCCACTTCTCACCTCCTCGGTTCACTTTATTATTTTTTAGAAGTCATAAATACCACCCGTAACCAAGAGGTATTTATGGCTTCCGACGAGCGTGCGCACCGACAGCCGACGCCCTCTTCCCTCGGAATGCCACACACGGATTGTAATATTGAGTAAATGAAAGATGACCCCGAACGAAGCAGGGGGGCCGGAATACCCACGGAATACCCCCCACCCCGAAACAGGATGAAACGGAGAAAAGACCTTGCCCGCTACTCCCCCTCGGAGCA